AGTTCCTTAGATGGATCACCATTATTATATAAAACTTGTGTTAGAGTCAGTGGGGTCATCCCATCTATTCTTATACTCAACCAGTCTACTAGATCTTGCCAAAAGTCAGTTGTTACTGAGCAGGAAAAAAAACAAATGATCAATACTTTCCGCATTTTGTGAACAAAATCCACATGGCTCTACCTCAAACCCAAACCTTTTTTTAAGCATTTCAGCTGCTGGGTAATATCCATTAATTATTTTAAATTGCATTTCTTTGACTTTGGGGGGGATAGGCCATTTTAAAAAGTGCGTATATTTGTTCGTTATTTTAACATTACTCCCTTTTAGTTTTGTGTTACTGTTAAGCCGCCTCAGTCCTGTTCGAGCTGAATGACCTGAATCCGGGGAGTCGTCGCAGGAGAAAGGGCACAGGGGTTACACCCACTACCACTGAGTGGCTGCTTCTGAGGACAATAAGTTAGATAAACCAATGTGAATAAACCTCCAACAAATGGTATTCATGCAGGTATATTCAAAACGGTTAAAAATATCTATCTCTGTTTTGAGTATTTTATTTTGTGGTGATTTAAAAATTTTAATACCATCTACAATAGTTTCCAGAGTTGATTTCAGGTTAATTTTTATTGCTTAAAATATTTAGTTTGTATTAATGTTACTACTAGTGTAGTACTTGATATGAAAAATATTTCTCATGTGAATGCCTAAACCAGTTTAAGATTAAAACCATTTAACCTTTAGGAAGCCAAAGTCCTAATAAATATATGGCTTCCCATGATTATTGTACTGGGACATTTGACCAAATTGAAATGGACTAAAATGAAAGACATTTTGTGTGTTTGTATTCTTTTTAGTAAGTATGTAAGTAAGTTTTAATAAATAAATCCATCCATCTTCATCCGCTTTGTCCGGGGCCGGGTCGCGGGGGCAGCAGCCTAAGCAAAGAGGCCCAGACCTCCCTCTCCCCAGCCACCTCCTCCAGCTTGTCCGGGGGAATACCAAGGCGTTCCCAGGCCAGCCGAGAGATATAATCTCTCCAGCATGTCCTGGGTCTGCCTGGAAACATCTCACCCAGGAGGCGCCCAGGGGGCATCCTTGTCAGATGCCCGAACCACCTCAGCTGGCTCCTTTCGATGTGGAGCAGCAGCTGCTCTACTCTGAGCCCCTCCCGGATGGCCGAACTTCTCACCCTATCTCTAAGGGAGAGGCCAGCCACCCTTCGGAGGAAGCTCATTTCTGCCGCTTGTATCCGCGATCTCGTTCTTTCGGTCACTACCCACAGCTCGTGGCCATAGGTGAGGGTAGGGACGTAGATCTGACCGGTAAATTGAGAGCTTCGCTTTTACACTCAGCTCCCTCTTCACCACGACGGACCGGTGCAGCGTCCGCATTACTGCAGCTGCAGCCCCAATCCGTCTGTCGATCTCCGGCTCCCTTCTCCCATCACTCGCGAACAAGACCCCGAGATACTTGAACTCCTCCACTTGGGGCAGGAACTCATCCCCGACCCGGAGTGGGCACTCCACCCTTTTCCGGCTGAGAACCATGGCCTCAGATTTGGAGGTGCTGATCCTCATTCCCGCTGCTTCACACTCGGCTGCGAACCGTTCCAGTGCGAGCTGGAGGCCCTCACCCGATGAAGCCAACAGAACCACATCATCGCAAAAATCAGAGATGAGATTCTGAGGCCACCAAAGCGAAAGCCCTCCGCCACTTGGCTGCGCCTAGAAATCCTGTCCATAAAAATTATGAACAGAACCGGAGACAAAGGGCAGCCCTGGCGGAGCCCATCACCCACCGGGAACGAGTCCGACTTATTGCCGGCAATGCGAACCAAGCTCTTGCAACGGTTGTATAGGGATCGAATGGCCCGTAGCAATGGGCCAGACACCCCATACTCCCGCAACACCTCCCACAGGACACCCCGAGGGACACGGTCGAATGCCTTCTCCAGGTCCACAAAACACATGTAGACTGGTTGGGCAAACTCCCATGCACCCTCAAGTATCCTGGAGAGGATAAAGAGCTGGTCCAGTGTTCCGCGACCAGGACGAAAACCGCATTGTTCCTCCTGTATCCGAGGTTCGACTACGGACGAACTCTCCTTTCCAGCACCCTGGCATAGACTTTCCCAGGGAGGCTGAGGAGTGTGATCCCCCTGTAGTTGGAACACACCCTCCGGTCCCCTTCTTAAAGATGGGGACCACCACCCCGGTCTGCCAGTCCACAGGTACTGCCCCTGATCTCCACGCAACATTGCAGAGGCGTGTCAACCAGGACAGCCCTACAACGTCCAGAGCCTTCAGGAACTCGGGGCGGACCTCATCAACACCAGGGGCTCTGCCACCAAGGAGTTGTTTAACTGCCTCAGTGACCTCGCCCCCGGAAAGGGGCAATAAATAAATCCTCTCCCGTAAATTTATTTCCCATACATAACCATAAAGTGGTGTCTAATAGAATAAGACAACATTAAAGCAAATAGGTTTCAGGGATTAAAGATTTGTAAAATTTATCTCGTTCTGTCTTGTGTAATTAAATTACACAGATGTTAAGGACACATTTGTGTGTCTGTATTTTTTCTTTGGCAAACTACCCTCAGCCTCCCCCCTCCCACGCCTCTACTGAAACTATTATTCGTGAGTCCAAAGATTTAATTACAATTACCTGTTCATGCTGACCGGAGGAGTTTTCCCCACTTTCCCAGCTTCCATAGAGGCGAGAATGCAGTGAGAAAAAGACAACGCTCCAGGGGTGTGTACTGATTCACCTTTACTAAAGTTGTGAATTTACAGTTTGAAACTTCAGTTAACTTACTTGTGACTGAAGCGATTTGAAACGATTGTTAACAATTAAACTTGCACTCAATTTTAGTAAGGAAATGTGTGTTCTTTGTTGTAATGATGCGTCTTGGCAATAAATCTTTTATCATTGGACAGCTAGTTTATGTCCACTTAAATGGTGCCATATATAAAGAAAATGCATTTGTGGGTTGAGCAGAAGAGTTGAGTATGTAGCTGAAGAATCACATTTTCTTTTATATAACATGGATGGCCAGGTGCATGTTCAACACTTACCCGGGGAACACCTCCACCGGGATGCACTTATGGACCGAGTTTATGGAGGCAGTGTGATGGTTTGGGCAATGTACTGCTGGAAAACTTTGGGTCCTGCCATCCACGCGGGTGTTACTTTGACACGTACCACCTACCTAAGCATTGTTGCAGACCATATACACCCTTTCATGGAAAATGCTTTATCCCTGATGGCTGTGGGCATCAACAACAAGTTTGAGGTGTTGACATGGCCTCCAAATTTCCCAGATCTCAATCTAATCAAGCATCTGTGCGATGTGCAGGACAAACGAGTCCGATCCATGGCGACGCCCCTCACAACTTACGGGACTTAAAGGATCTGTTGCAAACATTTTGGTGCTAGATACCACAGCACAACTTCAGGGGTCTAATGGAGTTCATGTTTCGAAGGGTCATGGCTGTTTTGGCAGCAAAAGGGAGATCAAGTGCATGTGTCTGATCGCTGTATATATATGTATATTATATTAATGAAACATGTTATGGTGAAGGGTTTGTTCCTATTACTTCTATATCAATCAAAGTGTGACATGTACTGGAGAGACAGATGTACTCCAGTTGACTTTGGAGTCCTGGAAAAACCATATTTTCTGTATGAATCTATCAGATACAGAAAACATGGAGGACATGACAGCAGTTTGCAGGCATGCATTTATGCACAGCTCTTAAGGTCCCACCACAGCATTTCAGGTAGGTTGAGGTCTGCACTTTGACTGGGCCACTAGAGCATCTTGATTTTTATCTTTTCAGCCAATCTCTTGCAGATTTGCTGCTGTGCTTGGGATCATTTTCCTATTGTATGACCCAGTGAACATGTGCATCATGGCCAGCTGTGGTCACATGTGGTCAGCTGAGTGAACGCATTCACACAATAATGACAACTTACAAAACTTACGGGGATTTAATACTGTGGCTTTTATAAATCATGCTGTTTTTCACACTTGATATGTGACTTTTTAGTTTATGGATTTGTCTTTTTGCTTTCCCCCCCTTCTTTTCTACTCTTACTGAGCGGTCAAAATCATTTAAAATAATTAATTTTTCCACACATTTAGTCCTTTCTGGAATCACACACAGGCTCACACTCTGATGGTAGGATCAGAAGCATTCGTCCAATCATAGTTGAGGTTGTGATGAGGCTGCAGCCTATCCTAGCTTTCATAGGACAAAAGGTGGAGCACACCCTCGACAAGTTACCAGTCTGTTGTAGGGCTAACACAGAGAGGCAACCATTCACATTCACACCTGCAATTAAGTTAGGATCATCAATTAAAAGCTGGTAACTCCATACATGCTTTTGAAATGTGGGAGAAAGCTGGAGTTACACAGAGAACTCTTGCTGTGAGTAAACGGTGCCAACCACCGCATTGAAAAGACTGTCCTTATATTTAAAATTATGTTAGTTTCTCCTGTTACTTTTGAGCCTAAACAGTTAATCCAACTTAATTCTTAAACCCCTTAATTAAAGCTAAACAAGTTTGTGCTTTCATCACATTGTAATGTTTTGATCTAAAATGCACCGTGGCATTATACAGAGACAAAACTCCCCAAATTGTGTCTTTGTCCGAGAGATTAGGGATCTAACTGTCGGTTGTGCTCTGAAGGTTCACTCTTGTGCTGAAATCACGTTACATTTAATTTATTCAGGAGAAAATCACTGTCATACATCTACAAGCTAGCTAGAAAATAACGTCATGTTTTTACTTCAGGAGGCAAAGTGTACAAAAACAAGTAATGTTTCATCTTTAGGGGACAAAGTCTGAGTGACTTCATTGGAATACCAGATCAGTGAGTCATACAGCCAGTATAGGAAAATCAGATGGAGAAAAAAAAAAGAGGAGATCATAATCAGGTCCAAAATATAAATATGACTTTATTTCACAATCCCGAAAGAGATCAGCCATCCATAAAAGGAATGCGAAATTTATTCTCTTCTCAAGTCTAAACTGGATATACTTTAAGCGACGTACAGTAATTCAGTTTCAAAGTAAGCAAGATCACCCATTGTCTAAACACCGGTAACAATACAGTAAAAACAATATGGTTCACATACATATTTACACATTTTCTACTAAGAATTTTCCCCATTTTTTTTTATGCTGGTGCTCGTTGTTAGTTCTTTGTTGATTAAAGAAATGGACTAAAACCGTCCCCCACAGTAAGTCGAGAGAAACATTTAGAACTGTAATTTCATCACGTGATGTTCAAAAAATATTCTTTCTAAATTTAACTCATTTAAAAAACAGTTTTACATTCATCTTTATTTGTGTGACTTTTGATAACTGCTGCAGAGTTGGGTTTAACTGTGGAAGACATTTGAACTCTATGTGGACATCTGCCCATAGTGCGCTGTTTTACTTGTACTTGACAAATTAAGGTATGTCATGATGTTGCCAGCCGGTAACGACCAGAAGAAATGAACTGAACTGAATCAAATACAGGATCAGTGAGTGCTGAGTTTCAAAAAGCACCGTGCCATCACTGTTATACAGTACATAAGCAGGTTGCGTCAATGCATGTACCTTGACATCTTGTCCTATTAGCACCAAAAGGAAGTCAAAGTGTTTAAAAGACCCAAATGCGTCTACAGGAAATGTTATGCCATCAGTTTTAGTGTGAATATTATGTCTCCATCTCTTGATTCATTCTTAAAATTAAGAGCTTTGCTTGTATGGGTAACAGAAAAATAACAAGGAAGAAATCCTGATTAATCAGGAGTTGACACCAACCCCCCTTTTTTTAGACCCTGTAAAAAAGCGTTCTGTAAACAAAGTTTTCACAAAGGTCGAGCACCCGAAATCGTCTTAGGCAGCTGGCTAAGTGGGATCTGGTGTTTGAGTGGTTTCACAACAAAAGACAAGGGAAAAGAAACAGATTGATTATTCAGCAGTGGCTAATGCAGCTTTATGCTCAAACTTAAGAGTATGGACATAAAAGCCGAGCATGATCTGTTGACATATCTGACACTTTGTGGTTTCTGGAAAGAAAAAAAAAAAAAAAAGGTCTTCTTAGCACCAATATCATGTACAGTAGGTGTTTTAATTCCTATAATCACTCTTGTTCCCTATAAAAAACTGAATTCCTTTTCCAGAAGCTGAACGTAAGTAAAGTGCAAATGATGATAAGCACTTGACTGATGTAGCATTTCATTATTCCTCGCTAGGTGTTTAGTTTCATTAGATATGTATGTCATCTTCAATCAAATGAGTGTAACGCAATTAAGTGCAGAAATACTGTAAAAAAAAAAAAAAAAAAAAAAAAAAAAGGATTAATGCTAAAAATGTCATATATTTCTCTGTCTGTACATACATATTCAGGCCTATGGACTGGGACCCTTTTCAAGTTAGGTTTTTTAAAAAAAAAAAAGTGCTTTTTAATATGCCATACATATCTGTGAATAAAAGACAAACTATCCAGATGTGGATATAACGAATAAACAAACAACAGACCGAGGAAGTACATTTCTTTCATCAACCGCCGACAGAAGTCAGAGGCAGCAGAAGGAAATGTGTAATGCTACATGTGACAATCTGTAGTAAAAATATGCAGAATGTTAGTCTTGTTTTCTACATAATGTGATGTAATGAGTTTGCTTAATAAAGATTACAGTGAGAATGGCACCAATGTAAAAAAAAAAAAAAAAAAAAGCCAATGAGATTCATCTTCTGAAAAGAGAATTATTGGCTGAAATAAAAAGTAAATTTCTACTGTACAACATAAAATCTGAACACATAATGCAGGTCATCGTAGAAATCTTGCAGTAAACAGGCTTACACCAGAAATTAAATATAAATCGTTATGATCAGAATAAATAATCACATCTTTTTTTTCTGTTTGTTCTGTATATAAAACCAGTTTAAAAATGTATTTTAAATGCTTCAAAGCACCATCTCTTTACAATAAAAACCAACACCGAAACTCACAGTTAAAAAGCCGACAACCTTTGGTCTTCTTCATCGCTCTGAAGGAAGAGACGAAGAAGGGCAAAGTGAACAGGTATAAGAAAAGCTCGATGAAAAAAAAAAAGAATAAAAATGAGAGTAGCAGTTTAAAATTGTCTGAGGTAAGGCAGAAGCACAGGGTGTAGGAGTTTTCTGTGTGTGTGTGTGTGTGTGAATGTCAAGATTTAAAACACGTTGACTAAGACCAGCGATTGTATGGACCCGTCACTTGGGTAAGAGCATACGGGGACGCGGTGATGACCCCGTCCCTTGGGAGAGTCCATGCCTTACGTGTGGGGACATTCATAATCCTCGCCTCCTCTGTCTCCTCACCCGTTTCCTCCTCTCCCTCCACCCCTCCAGCAACTTTACTAAGGTTGCCCTCCAGCCTCAATCTCTCAGCCTCCTCCTCTCTGTCCCGTTCCCGCTTGGCCATTTTGGCATCCCACATAGCCATCCCGTGGCCCGGCTCATTTAGAGACTTATGCTGGTAGAAGACTAGAGAGATGCGGGTGGGGTGGCTGCGATTTGGCTTGAGGACTGGAGTAGTGGCGTGGAGCTCCCGCCGCGCGCACTCGATTAGGATGGAGCCGTGCGACGGGGCCACGGCGACTCCGCCTATTTCGCTGTCGAGGAAGTTGTGTTCGCTGTCTGACCACACCTCTTCCTGCTTCACTTCATCTGGTTCAAATGGTGGAGTTTGTACAGGGAAGGAGAGAGGAGACATCGGTGGGTGGCCATGACCCCTAGCCTCTGCTATGACATCTCCCACAGACCCATGGAGCCCATTGAGCCGGCTGAAGAGGCCCTCAGATGTTGGACTGGGGGAGAACAGAGAGGGAGGAGGAGCGCTCCCACTGGGAAGAGGTTTGTGCTGAGGAGAAGAGTGCACCTCTCTGGGCTCAGTTTTAAAAGCACCATCATAGTCAGCAGGTGTGTTACGTGGAGGTATACACTCTGTTGGAGCACACTGGTCACCAGATGCTGGAGAATAACCATTCACTGTATCACTCATTGTCTTGTAACTGAGAACTGAGCCATTCTGTCCAAACTGGAGGCCAGGCAGGCCATGGGTGTTGGGTGAGATGACCTCCCTCTGCGGGTTGACTCCTGGACCCACAGTGGGGTAGCTGCTGATCTGGTTATAAGTGCAGGGTTGATTCTTCTCTGGTAGGTACCTTTCCACACTAGCAGGTCTGTAAGAGCTGTTGTATCCAGCTTTTGTTTTGTTGGAAGAAAATTCATATATTTTAATGTGGTTCTATTAAAACAGCTATAAATCTTAAATGACCAGTGGTGTGAATGTACTACCTTTGTTGGGGCTTTCAACTTTCACTTTTCCAGGAGTGAGAGGAGTCACCCCAAGCTTCTTCTCCAGTCGCTCTGCTTGAGCCTTAAGGCGAGCCTCTTGTCTGATCTTACGGGCTGATTTTACCGGCTCTGCCAGCAGACGAACCTGACATGTACCAAAATTGAATTATTTAAAGCATTTTAACACTGCACACTGACCCACAACAAAACAAGATCCTTTTTGGTTCACTCACCTCTCGAGGAAACGAAGACAGAACTTGAAGAGCACCACTTTGGATCTTTGCCATCTGGCCCTCAGCGTGACCAAACTCATCTGTGTCAGAGATCTTGTAAAGTGGCAGCACGTGGAGCTGCTCATCCTCTGGCATGTTACGAACTGCACGGTTGTCTTCCTTGGTTAAAGTGCAAACCTAAAAAACACCAACCCAAAGCCAAAAAGCTAAATTTCCAGCCAAACAGGATCGGTTTAATACTTCCAAACAAAAAACTGTTGACCTTCAAATTTAGATGCACCATGTAGGAGTAAATTACATGGTATCGCATTCTTAAGCTTGCTTACCACGGTGCTGCCATTATTCATGTTGCTAGTGTCTTTGTGAGCGTGTGCACAGAAATCTACACAAGCTGTAACCCCAGAAAAAGGACGTCCCTCCTTCTTGCCCAGCCGGCATTCACCCCCCGCCGCCTCATATTCCACCTGTGAGACCCGAAAAAACAGGACACTAAGGAAAGATTTCTTAAAACTCTTAAGAGTCCGTAGAATAAACAGGTCCCAGAAGTAGCCTGGAGTGAGACTGTATGGCAATTTAAGGAAAAAGATTAACTGAAAATCACTTCCGCTGAATTAAGTCAAGCCCAGGAGAGCAAAGGATTATCAGAGACGAATGTGGTTGTTTCCCGTTTCATACCTGGTTTTGGAAAGCCTGAGGAGCCAGTTTCTTGTAGAGGGGAGCGACCTCGGTGGCAAGACTCTGAAGGTTGTTTTCTACCTTCAACTCCTGAAAATAAAAGCTAACACTGTTCAAAGGAACCTACCTCTAACTCTTATTGTAATATCCAACATGGTTCATCAGCAGGCAAACCTTCAAAAAACTACTAGCTTGACCTGAATAATAAGAGACGATTTTTCTCTCAGATTTTGCTGTACGCTGTACTGCTCACTCATTGTTTGCTGATGTAAATTAAAAAAGCACACTCTCTCACCTCCTCTCGGTAGTCACCTTGCAGGCGAAACTTCCGAGGAACTTTGCTGCGTGCAAATTTGCATCCATTGAAGTACATGCTCCAGGAGCAACCAAAGGAAAATGAGGCTCCGCAGGTGTCCGGATCTAAACCCTGGCACGCACATGTGCGACTGTAAAGAAATGGGAAATAACAAATGAAAAATAAAGAGGGAAAAAGAAGTGTTATGGAGAAATAAAAGAAGGGGTACTCACTCTTCGTTGAGCGCACAACGACGGCTGGTGGGGGAGCCGTACTTAAAGAGGGTCTCTGTCAGCTCCTGGTATAGGTGGTCTGCCACCGGCCGAGGAATTCCCTCCCAGGCCAGGATGAGGATCACCAACACTGCCGAGTCGCAGTGGTGCCCTGGCCTGTGGCGGACCAAACACAGCAGCTTCTCCTCTTCACTGCCACGCCGGATCACCTGTCAGAGGACATTTAATTTATAAATACACAAGCGTCAGTCACATTTGAAACTTGGATTGCAACACAGACGAATACACTAAGCTCACTACATAGATCACTATAAGTGACCTGCCATACCACCAGACTAGGCAGAAAATGTTGTGAATAAATTTGCAATTTAATGCCTCTGACACGGAGATGGTTTTTGTTTGTCTGTTTGTTTGTGTTGTTAGAAGAAATTATCAAGAAGTTATGGATGGATTCATGTGAAAATTGTACCGGAGGTGGCTAACTTTTTGACTTGATCCACATTAAGGTCTGGTACTGGGTCCAGGAATACCTGGACGAACATTCTGTGTCATATCTAAACAAATACCAATAAAACTGAAACATGAAAAATTGCTGTTCAAGACAAAGAAAACACAAACTAATCCACATATCCTTCTTGATCTAAAGACTCTAAAGTTTATGCCATGGTTTATGCAGCCATGGCGGAAGTACGCTGTCTCAGACTGCTCGCTATGTTTAAACTTTAGTTACACAGTTGGCGGCAGCTAAGGTTTTGCCATGGTGGTGATAAAAGCATAAATCAGAGGCTGCCTTTCATTTCTTACACTAAATATACTGGCTCACAACAATGTTTACATTTACAGCAGACACATTCAGGACACAGACACCAGCCACATACCCATTTAGCTATTGGACACCCCTGGGAGCTCCTGCCTTCTTTCCCAGTGTAAACAACAACTTCCACCCTTATTGCATTTCCTTTGGCACCATACCTAAAGCACGCACACACACACACACACACACACACACACACACACACACACACACACACACACACACACACACACACACACACACACAC